AGGTTGTTCTGTGACCTCCATGCACACACATGAACACACACACAAACACCCATACCAAAATACATTATGTATTTCCTCATGTTTCTAAAGCTCTAGAAGAAACTGCATAAATGAAATTTTTTGTGTGTGCAGCAATACTGAGGGTTGAACCCAGAGCCTTGCACATGCTAGTCTAGTCCAGTGTTCTACCCCTGAGCTCCATCCCTTGCTCCATTTACTTACACAGAGCATCTTACTAAGTTGCTTGGGCTGGCATCAAAATTACAATCCTCTTGCCTCAGATTCCTAAGTAGTTAGAATTATGGGTAGGTTCCACCATAGCTGGTTGTATTTACATGCTCCTGCACAGGTTTAGCAGAGAACATATCAGGATGCAGTTCCCTGTGTATTGGACACTATGCAACTTATGCCTACATGTTATATGTATGGTACATACACATACATGTATTTTTATATATGAATCTCTATATACATTATTCATTTCATAACTTTCTCTTAAGGACTTTCCTTTCTATGGCAGTAACATCAGTACAGAGGTCTTCACTTTCCAATGTTCTGTGGCAACTGCAGGGCAATTCTGACTTTGGGTTAATAATGGGCCCAGGGTCATGTTTCTTTCACTTTCTCCAAATGCTTCTCATAGATCTTTCTAGTAGGCACTGAGGCCACAGGTCAGTACCCCTGCAGCACATACTGCAGGTAGCCTGCTGGTTGCAAGAACATTAATGACTACCCACACCTTCTGGAGACCTGTATTCACAATCCCTCACACAAACTCTGGGGCCATGAAGGATGCTCACACTGACTCTTCTAGGCAATTAACCCATCTGTGGTCCTGCTCTCCTGCCAGCTGTGGTTTCCTTACCTAACAAAGGAGCAGGAACCGCTTGGAAGCTCTTGGTCATTCTATCTAGTCTTTCTTGGCCTGCCATTTTAGTGAGCACAGGTTGCCAGGTACCTCATCATCAGTCACTGAACTGATACAGGGGCAGTTAATCTCAGACAAAAGATGGCAGCTGTCCCTCATGCCCATCCCTTACTGCTTCAGAGAAGCTTCAGCAAGCAACCCCCTTTCAAGAGCATAAAAACTCAGAAAACATAGGACATAAACATTTGTGTTTTTTAAAGAGAGTTAAATAAATATCTGGGTTGCATTTCATGTTTATAATGTGTTTGCAATATGTTTACAATTTGTATCATTTTGAGTGTCAAAGCCATCATGCAACAGTATCGTTATTAGTGTTGTTGTTACTGTTATTATTTGAGATAGTAGCCCAGGATGGCCTAACTCTATATGGGGTTGAAGCTGTTCTTGAACCTCTGATCCATCTGCTTCCACATCTCAGCTGGTGAGATTTGATGGCCTGTTTTATGTCGTGCTGGGGACTGAAGTCAGGTCTCTGTGCATGGTAGAAAAACACTGTGTCAACTGAGCTACAGTCCTAATCCCTCTATTATCTTAAAAAATTATTTTATTTTTATTTATATGTATGTATATGTAAGTCTGTTCCTATGTGTGCTGGTGCTCTTGGAGGCCAGAAGAGGGCACTGGATCTCCTGGGGCTGCAGTTACAGGCAGTTGTGAACTGCCTTATGTAAGTGTTGGGAATGGAACTCAAGTTTTTTGCCAGAACAGTAAGTGCTCTTAACTGGTGACCCATCTCTGCAGCCTCCAAATGTGACTTTTTTAGAGAGGTCAGAGAGGGCTTCGAGTTGGGAATCAAACCTGGGTCCTCTGCAAGAGCAGTCAGTGCTCTTCACCGCTGAGCCATCTCTCCAGCCACACTGGCTGTTCTTTATACAGGTGACTTCCTGCCTAGCAGCCCTGTTCACCAGCCCCCCCCCCCCCATTTTTTTTTTAAAGAAGGAACTCTGAATTTCTATCAAGTCCACCAGTGTCATGGTTTGGATATGAGGTGTCTCTGTGAAGGACTCAAGTGTTGTTGAAAGCTCAGTCCTCAGCTGGTAGATCCAGTCAATCATTGAAAAGTCATTGGATCATGAGGGCTCTGACCTAATAAGTGCATTAATTCACTGGATGAATACAAAATTCGATGGAGGTGGGGGTCTATTTGGAGTCAGTATGTTACTGTAGGCATGTCCTTGGGCTATATCTTGTTCCAGGCTGTTCTCTGTTTGGTGAGTAAAAACTACCATAGGCTCACTGCCATGACAATGTACCTCACCAAAGACCCAAAGCAATGAATCCAGCCAACCTTGGACCAAAACTTCTGAAACTGTGAGCTGAAATACATCTTTCAAGTTGTTTCTGCCAGCTGCTATGTCCCAGTGATGAGACTCTAAACACACCTGATCAGCCATCATGAATCTTGTATATATATTGGTTTCCATGCCTCAGCTCGCCTACTGAAGTCTACATTCTTTAAGCGCAAGAGCTCCATCATATTTCTACACATCAGCCAGTTGCTGACAGACCTGGCAGGCCCCATATTGATGTTTGTTAAATGAAGGATTGAAGGTGAATGAGCAAGTTATAGCAATTTCAAGCTGATGTTTAGGATTTCATTTGGCTTATATGAAGAGAAACCTCAACAGGAAGGACGCTAAATAAGAACCTTCTCAGGAAGAATCTCAAGGACTTCCTATCGCACCCCACAACACATAGAGACCCAGAGGTGTTCAGTTCATAATTAACCAAGGCTAGTGAATTCTTTCTGCACTTGATTAAGACTCCCAATGGTTTATTTTTACTAGCTCATAAATTAACCCTTAAATATTGAGAGAGAAATAGAACAGAACTCGCTTGTCAACTGTTCCTTCCCCTTTGTTTATATGAACTAAGAACATTGCTGCTTTTTTCTTTCCTCTCCAAGTGATTATGAAAATAACCACGGGAGCTCATTGGATTGAAACGTCCAAACAAGAAAAAAGCATGCGCAATAGAAGTTTATTTCTTCCCAGATATTTTCTGGCCAACCACTTAAGTTTGCAGCAGGTTCTGTGAACACATGTGTGTTTGTTTGGAAAAGTAGAAAAAATAAAGTCAGCACAGGATTGGTGCGATGGCCCAGCTGGTAAAGGCTGATTTAGAACCTAGTCCCACACAGCGGTTTACGGAGAGACTTGACTTTACAAAATTGTCTTCTGACCTTCGCCTGCGCTGGGCCGTGGCCCTTGGCCCCGCCCCCCCTCCCCAAATCATGCACACACAAGAATAATAATAAATAAAAATTGGCACCAACACTGCTTGTATATATGAATGACGATAAAAGGAAATGTTAGGTATTTTCACAGCATTAAAAATAATGCTGAGAACTATATAAAATAGACCCTTGGATTTAGAACTCCCAAGTCAGCAAACTGAAATGGGGTGAATTGGAGAGCAGGTGGAGATCGATCTTTAGAAGAAGTCACCTTAACTGGAGACCCAGTTTGCCTAGGGGGGCGTGCCTCACATTTTCCGACAGTGTGAGTAAAGAGGGTAGTGCAGTGTGCACTCAGCCGGGGACTAGCGGCTACCGGTTAGGAGGGCGCCCAGGGCCGGCGCTGATTGACCCGGCGCGCGGTCAGGTGACCCGAGGCGCCACGTTCTGGGAGCCCGGCCGGCGGTGGCCTCGGAGGCCGGGGAAGGGCTGAACCCGGGCGGATGCCTCACATTTTCCGACAGTGTGAGTAAAGAGGGTAGTGCAGTGTGCACTCAGCCGGGGACTAGCGGCTACCGGTTAGGAGGGCGCCCAGGGCCGGCGCTGATTGACCCGGCGCGCGGTCAGGTGACCCGAGGCGCCACGTTCTGGGAGCCCGGCCGGCGGTGGCCTCGGAGGCCGGGGAAGGGCTGAACCCGGGCGGAGGGGGCCGATCTCCCGGGGAACAAAGTTGCAGGGCCGCGGGCGGAGGGGCGGAGCAGCCGCGGGAGCTGGGCGGGTCACCGGACCTGCGGGCTCTGCGGCT